TAAAAGGTCAACAAAGAGGAAAGTCAAAAGGCAAAAAGTCAAAAAGGATAAAACGTCAAAAGATAAAAAGTGAAATTGCCAAAAAGTCAGTGAACAAAAAGTCAACTAGCATAGAAGTCAACAGACAAAAAGTCAAATGGACATAAGGTCAAAAGACAAAAAGTAAAAACGGCAAAAAGTCAAATTGCCAAAAAGTAAAAAGGACAAAAGTCGAAAGACAAAAGGTAAACAGGACATAAAGTCAAAATCCAAAAAACCAAAAGGACAAAAAGTCAAAAAACAACAAGTCAATCGGGCATGAAGTCAAAATAAAAAGTCAAAAGGTCAAAAAGTCAAAAAGACATATAGTCAAAGTCCAAAAAGTCAAAAGGACAAAAAATCAAAGGGACAAAAAGTCAAAAGGACAAAAAGTGAAGAGGACAAAAGGTCAAAAGACGAAAAGTCAACAGGACATAAAGTCAAATTACGAAAAATCCAAAGGAAAAAATCCAAAATCCAAAAACTGAAAAGGACAAGTCAAAGAGACAAAGTCAATGACCCCTGGATCATCAGTCATTACATACATGAGATAACATTTACAAACAGCTGTACACAATTAAGCAGGATGCTGCACAATGTATAACCTGCATCATTGGACATTGAAGCGAGACTGCCCCCATTGCGCGACTGATGGGGATTCCCATGGCCCGCAACCGCGACTCAGCTGGTCACACGGGCATGCTTGGCTGAAATCTGACACACAACCGTTGACACTTACGTGCTAGGTGGGAGCTCGCTCGCATGGTAAGGTTGTCATGAGGCGGCGTTACATGATCCTTCGAGACAACTGGCTGTCCCAGGCGCAGTTTACTGGAATTATTTCAACAAATATAGTAACCCGGAATGTAATCGATACGAAAAGTTCGCTTGTTCAAATTTCCTATATTGTGTAGGGGGACGTTTCTCATCAATTGATTTCGTCACGGGCTCTATAAGCGATTTCACACTTTTATTATAGTTCAAGCGTATTGTATGGTACAATTGGTACAATAGTAAAGCGCGTCGTTTCTTTAAGATAGGTGGAAGTTGGAACGAGAGGCAATTGTGTGATTGTTGGATTGTTCTGCCTTGAAAGGAACGCTCATATCAGTATCAACATACAACAACCTGTTAATATTCACGGACTGCATACAATTAAGGTGACCAATTTTCATCGAAAGTTACTGACTTTCGAGGTGGGAGCCCAATTTTCATCGAAATGTATAGGTCAATTAAGTTATCGAGATGCGATTGCTAAAAACACAATTTTTTTAGGACCTCGGAGCTGTGACGTCCAAAGAGAGGTGACAAGTATAGCGCATTGTGGCCACCAGTTACTGTCCCTCTCCTTCATCTTCGCCTCCGCCCTACGTCTCCTTATCGGAACTGCCCCCCCCCCCCCCGCCACCAGCAGGCACAGTACGCTAACTTTATATAGATAAGTTCACATTCCCAATATACTTTTTAAAGCAAAGTAAAAATAGGTAGGAGCGTTCTTATCGGTAGTGTCGGGGCACGCACGGGGACGCGCCGAGACGCGCTATGCGGTGCAGCCGGCGCCCAGCGGGCGGCGGCCGGGGATCAGGTGGCCCGGCGCGGGTCAGTCGCCGACCGGAGACGCGGGCTGCGGCGTACTTGTACCGACTTAGTTAACGACTGCTGTTAAAGACTACTTTTTGCTGTTGACTACATTTTGCGCATCAACTTTTCGCCCACCTATGAACTATTTGCTTGAACTTGACTTTTTGTGTGTTAACTTTTAGCGTGTTGACTTTTAAGCATGTTGACTTTTAGCCTGTTGACTTTTAGCATGTTGACCTTTCGCGTGTTGACTTTTAGCGTCTTGACTTTTTGCGTGTTGACTTTTTGCGCGTTGACATTTTGCGTGTTGACTTTATGCGTGTTGACTTTTAGCGTGTTGACTTTTAGCGCGTTGACTTTTTGACATGTCGGCTTTTTGTCTCTTCGACATTATGTCTTTTGACTTCTTGCGTGTTGACTTTTAGCTTGTTGACTTCTGGCGTGTTGACTTTTTGGCAGGTTGACTTTTTGTTCATTTGACATTTTGTCCTTTGACTTCTTGCGATGTTGACTTTCTGTCTGTTGACTTTATGTCCTTTGACTTTTTATCCGTTTACTTTTAACGTTTTGACTTTTCATCCGGGAATCCACACAGGCAGCGGTAGTGACGACCTCGCTCGGCACATCAGCTTCACCAGTTGATCGGGCATACCAGCACGATCGGTCATTCGCTGGAGACAGTGAGAAAGCTGTAAATGTAATGGCATTTTCCAACAGCGCTTAAACTCTCATTTTTTAATATCCTGTAGTGTGAGAGTTGGGTTTTGGAGGCTGTCGCCTCGGCGCCGCGGGGAGCGTCGGCCGGCCGCCGTCTGCCCCGTCCCCTCTGGTGTGGACGGAGGGGCACATCTGGCGTCGGAGCGGTCCCGGCGGCCGTTCGTCCTAGTTTCGGGGCCATGCCGGCGCGTCGGACGGGACAGAGGGAGAGTCGTGTCCGAGCCATGGGACCGCACGGTGGTGTGTGAGGGTGAGCGAGAAATACAAAGAAATTTGGCAAAGACTACCTTTTACATATCCACAAAAATGTAGACTGGGACCTGATATTTATCTTTTTTACATCAGCCATCGCTAAATGCAAACTACTTTTTATTGATGCTCACGCGGTAAATTTCTTCTGGATGCATTGCATTCATGCTTCCTTGCCGATTTATTTACCTACTGCTCTGCCGCTGTTAAAATATTCACTGAGTAGGTTCTTTTACAGGACACGGTGATATTGCTCGTTTTTGAAACCACCTGGCCGTATATAAAGGAGCTGTTTGTGTGACCCACTGCCTTCCTCGGCTGATGCAGGTGCTGAGGGCTTCTCGGCAGGTGGTCTGTGCACATCGATCAGTTCGGCCCAGAGTCCTCGTTAGACTAGCTGGGTCACACGCGGGGCGGGACGCACTGGGTAATAGCGACACTGTCCTGTGCGCCTTCTCACGGCATGTTTTGTTAGAAAGCGAATTAAGTTCGCTTAGATTTTCTTAAAGGCAGCTAACAACATTGAACATATCCAGTATTTATCCACTATTGAATGTTGACTGTGTTCCCTAGACTGTGTTTTAGCGCCATTCAGCAATGCTGTTTCTCCATCGCTGTCGTAATCGAAAAATTGACTCTCAGCAACGACTGATTTAATTCTTAATAGCTACATTTACTCTTGGTTTTCAACATTTGTTGTGCGTTTCTACACAATCGAAAGATCTAAATGGCTATTTGATATGAGGGACGCTCGTTTTGAGGGCGAAACAAACCGGTGTAAGATATGTCACACCAATAAATGTTTCAGCAAGCTTTTATCGTCGCAGCACGCTCACAGTCACCAACTTGAAGCCCGGCCTAGTTATCATGTAGCATGAACTCCCGACCATTTCGCGGAACGTCGGTCCGGGTGCCAGTTCAGCCATTCGATACCGTGTCCAACACCTATAACTCGCGGCCGCCGCGGTACTACAAGTGGATCGGTGCCGGCGGGGGCGGGGGCGGGGGCGGGGGCGGATGGTCACGGTTCGCCGGTTCAGTGTCGCCGCCGGCGCGTCCGGGTCTGGTTCTGTTCTGTTCTGTTCTGTCCGGGTCTGGTTCTGTTCTGTCCTGTTCTGTCGGGGTCTGGTTCTGTTCTGTGTTGTTTTGAGACGGTCAGAGATGTTCTGTGGCAGCCTGGCCGGACCGGCGTATTTCAGCGCGGCGCTGGTGAGTGGACGGTCGGCTTCGGGCGCCGCGGCGGTACGAATCTCGCCCGTGTGTGAGTCGGTGTGTGCGTGACTCGAGTCATTTACAGGGGCGGTGTGAGGGTGGAGAGGGGAGACGGGGGAACAGTTGAACGACAAGAGATGGGTGAAACTGGTGGCTGGAAAATCCGAATATGCATGGCCTCTATGAAGAAATGCGAGCTTCTTCTTTCGGCAAAGGGTTGAACAACAAACGAGTAAAATGTCAAAGCTCAGTATTTCTTTTGCATCCTATTTGTTTGAAACCCCAATGTGGTTTGATAATCTAGCTGGGTAGCGAATGCTCATTTGTCAACTGTGTGTTGTGACTTGTGCATTATCCTAACGCTTGCATTCAACTCCATTGATTTTGCAACATTTTGTTTAATATTTATACCTGCGTGCAACAGGCTTACTTCCCCTTAGCACACTGCACATTGGTAGTAAATCTTTTATTTGGCGATGAAAAGAAATGGATAAGCGGGTTGCATGCCACTGCAACTGGTCCCTGTAAGACGCCGATGGTACCGAGTATAGAGTATCTCTTGACCGGTCAGGACTAGTGCTTTAGTTCATCTTTCTGCCTTGTTAGAGTTCGAACAAGTGTAGCCGACCTTACTCAGGCTCGGGTCGGCTGACACTGCTACGTTCCTACCCTTCCTTGGTCACATGTGGAACTCATAGGAACCTCCCTGTCTGGGTGTGTCGTCCCTCTCCCTTGCCGAAATGGTCATCCCTATGTTGTCCCCCAGTCTTCGGGATCTCCCTGCCCTCCCGCCGTCCCCCTCGGGACCGAGAGACAAGATGACCCTCCCCAGCCACCCCTGCCGTCTCTCTTCGCCCCTGCCCTCTCGCCGTCCCTCTCGGAGCCGAACTGACCCTCCCTCTGCCCTCTCTATCCTCCCGCCGTCCCTCTCCGAGCCGAGATGGCCATCCCCCTGCCACCCCTGCCGTCCCTCTCCGAGCCGAGATGGCCATCCCTCTGGCGGCAATGATCCGTGCCTCTGGCCGCCGGCCGCCGGCGCGTCAATATGGCCCGGCGCAGGCGGCCGGCCGACGTCGCCCATTGGCTGGCGCGCGCGTCGGGGGCCGCCCCCGGCCTAATTACGGCCTCATTAGCCGGCGATTGGTGGAGCGGCGCGCCGAAGCCACGCCCCCCGGCTCGGCCTGGGTTTGCGCCGGCTATCTCCCACTTCCGCGACCATTTCCTCCGCGTAATGAAAGAAGTGGACTTAAGCACACAAGTTGGACGTCAGGAATTTATGTTATTCAATTATTGGTTTCGGACCTCGGCCGGCGGCTATTTGGTTTGAAATACGATCGGCCATTGCGTCGGTGGCAGTGCCGCGTAACGGCGGGGAGCGTCCAGAAACGACCGGAGACCCGACCTGCCCGCAGCCTCAGCGACGGAGGTGAGTCGCGCGCGGCCGCCGCCCTGCCACTGCAGGTGCGGCGAGCCACCCCGCACCGCACCTTCCCCTCACGGGGCCACCCTTCCGGCTCCGGACCGGGCCGGACTCCATGGAAAAACTCATTTCCGCGCCTGTATCCTGGCCGGGGGGCGGCGGCGGCGGCTGTAAACCCTCCGGCTCCGGGCCGGGGCGGCGACCTTCCGGACCGGTCGGCCGCTTCCGGGCCGCTTCCTCGACTGCGGAAGCTAGCAAAGAAGCGCACGTGACGGCCTGTGACAGTCGTCTGCCCCTCGGCCGCCACCCTCCGCCAGTCCGGCCGTGCGTGTGGTCACCTGCCGATAATGTGCGTGAGTCGGTGTGGTTACCTGACCATTACCGGGAGGAAGGTCACTGCCCCGAGGTCACGCAGTCATGTGTGATGTTATGGTTAGGTGAGGGAGAGGCAAAGGTCATCTTATTGTACCTATACGCTGAAGCTGCTCCCTTGCACAGCCTCAGTATGGTTTGAACAAAGATCACCCGTAGATTGGTTAGTGTAGTTGCCATTTCAAGTATCAAAATGTGGTATGATAAAATGATAACTTGATGCTGAAATACTTCATTTATACTTAACACAAGCAATAATAATGCATATCGTTCAATGATTATTAACTTCCATATTTTGACTTTAACTTGCTTTTTCAATAAAAATTTTTTGCCCTTCCCAAAAATCGTCATTTATATCACTGTACTTGATAAATATTATTTGGAAAGCCCTCTATTACCCATATGTTTAGAAGACGCAAATTGGTTTATATCTGCCCAGGCTGCTCAACGTGATAAGCATGCGTGGAGACCTAACCGCCTAACCTTGTGGGTAAGAGTGAGGCTACCGGCATTCCCGTGCTATCTTGAGAATGGCATGCCTGGATAAAATAATATACTTGTGTGGTAAATGTTATTTTTAAGTGTTTCATCACGCCAACATCAAATTATTTCTTCTGATGAACGATGGTAAAGTTGTTCTTGCTTATTATTTTTTTAGAAGCACGGTTACATATTCAGAATATAATATAATTGGTAATTCCTAGTCCCCAGAACAGAACAGGGCCACCGAGCTAACTGTTTTTGGTAACACCGATTCCGACGTGGTAAAGATCGACTGTAAGTTCCTCAAAGTCCGATTCCGGGCACTCTTCTGAAAATATGCGTCATGGCTAAATAGCTTATGTGTGCTTACGACTTCAGAGTCTTGAGCCTTGTTCAGGATTCTGCGACTCTAACTCCGAATGACTCCGAAGAGAACATACATGACTCCGCACTCACAGACATTCAACAGGAGGCCTTTTCCAGTCTACATATGTCGGCTGCCTAATACGCATGTAGGAGTATATAATGTAGGAAGTAGCTATAGGAATATTATTTTTTATTTACCACAGCCTGGCCTCATGAGCAGGGGCATTTAACAATGATAATTATCTCAACCCATGGCATGCTGGTGGTCAGAATTTTCCGTATCGTACGTTACACGACCCCCCCCCCCCCACACACACACACGCCTGTCAAACTCGGCTCCTGGGCCACGTAGTGGCACGAGGTAAGCGGTTTTCGAAAGAACGTCAAAAATAATGAAGAAAACATTGGTCAGTTTTTTAGGTTAGGTCAAAGGTCAGGTCACCGAAGGCCATCAAAGTTCAAAGTTTTCCAATTTTAACCCACGAGCCGCTGGGGGGGGCATAAAGTTGCCCCCCTTGCGTTTTTGAAATATATCCGAAATCTGATGAGCTACGAACGTGAAACTTGGCATAGCTTCAAATGAATACCTAGGCAATGTTTGAGGAAAGTTTGGTGGTTGTAGCACCTAAGATGACGTCACAGTGACGTCATAAAGTTTTGTCGTTTTCCGATATGGGCCGTTTCTGATGACACTGAGCATGAAACTCAACTGTAAATGAACTAGACAGCACCTGCTGTCATCCTAAAACATCTAACTACACTTCCATCTAGTTTCTGACCAATAATCGACTCTTTATATTCGGTCCCATAAATCTGGTGTATCGTGAGGAATATGAGAGTCGCAAATCTATAATTTCACTTATGACGGCACTGTGACGTCATTTCAAATGGGATCGACACCAAATTTGGACACAACCTCGGCTAGGTATTCAGGAAGATGTGCGCAAAGTTTCGCTTCTCTATCTCTTCGCGTTGCGACGATATCGTTGCAGAAGTAAAGGGGGGCAACTATATGCCCCCCCCCCCCCCCAGCGGCCGGCGGGTGGCGCGGAGGCCCAGCGGCCGCCGGGTTAACAATTCTTGATAAATCAGCGCATAACTCGGGAGTCAATAAAGCTATGCTATGCGTCGGGGAGAGGCGCATTCGATAGCTCTTCTACCGCTCTTTCTGAAATGTTACCTCAAATTTGACCTAAGGTCAACTCCAGAGGGCAGTAACTGTAAAAATATACATTTTTACTAGAAATGATTTTTTTCTGCAATAACCTTTGACATAAGAGAGTCGCGACATTACTTAACATCGTGTTCCTCTCGTCGAGGCGCGTTGAGTGAACTATAGTTTGACCTTAAAAGGTTATTTTGAAAATTTGACGTCAGGTCAGGGTCGTGACCTGACCGGACAAGCTCATGTTGCTTATATCAGTCGATTCGCATCCTAGAGCTTAATACAGCTGAGTTGTTTTCATCGCTCTAGTATTTCTCTATCAAAAGTTATTGTAAAAAAATGCTGGGACCTGAGGTGACCTTAGGGACACAAAGAGGGGTCACGGGTGGGTGCAAGTTTCCGATTCAGTACGTCATGCTTACCTGTAAACCAATGTTTGAGAATGTTTAGAACGACGTTCGTCCGAAAGAGGTGCATTTCAATTTTCTCCCAATGGAGAGGTCACAACATTGACCTTACCTTAGGTCACAGATATCGAATTTCCGAGACATTCACATTACGCATACTGGTACTCTTATCAATCGCAGTTTCAGTTTCATGGAGGGATCGTTCAATCGGTGTAGCTATAGCGAGCATTGGAACCTTTTCTGAGGTAAGGTTAGTTGACGTGACCTTATGACCTGACCTTCAAGGACCCGAGTCTGAAATGTTCACAACATGTGGAGAAACGATGCATTATAAGGTGTGTCAAACATGGTGGCACTGCACGCCGCGTTTTTTTTTTTTTTAGATATTTGCGAAAACCTGAAGGGGGCTCAAAAACGCCCCCCCCCCCCCAGCACGGTGCATGTTAATAACTTCAATGTTCAGTACATCACTTCGCCAAATCTAGCTTGGTCACAAACTTGGCCGAACGTCAACAGCCTTCATGGAACAATAGTTTTGTATATTTTGTAAAGATCGATTAAATATACAAGCATGTAGAAATCTAAGGTTCACCCAAGCATGCACAAGCGGTACACGCTCTTCAATAAAGTATAATCTCGAACGTATTGACTTGCTCTATTTGATGCCAAGGGTGCCCTAACCGATAAGGGCTGGAATGAATGTAAATTTATTAGAAAAACGAGACCCCATGTGTAGCTGGCATGTTTATGATGAACGTCTGACATATTATTTTGAACGTCTGGTAAATTTTTCAAGTGCACCATAAGATCTAGTTTACCCTGCATTTTGTCTAAACCACCACAGTGTTGCCTATTCCAGTTCCTTCGGATACAAATTCGAGCATAAATCGTCTCTTGCTCTATTGTTTACAAGACAATTTACATTACATACCCAAAGCGTCGCGTTAGGTGCTCCTATTACAAGTGTATACAGGTTGTCCTAGAGCATAACGATAGGCGTTATCACAAGTGTATTCGCGGCCATTGGGGCGACGTAAGAAAAGAAGAAAACAACTGGCCCCAAGAACCTTAAATTATCAGTTAGCATGCACCTTTTCCTTGATGTGTAGAGAAATTACCATCAATTGTTAGAGAAAAGTGCATTTAAAATCTTCCATTTATGCTTTTTTCTTCGTTTGCACAATATGTTCTTTTACTAAGCAAGAAACACTTATTAGAAATAGTTCCCGCATCATCGTCAAGAACAATAAGGAAGGCTTGAAGTAAATACAATAATCTAAACAGTTTTGTAATCTATGTGAAGACACTTCTAAAATTGCCTGTAGAAATATTGAAGGCAAAAGTTCAACTTTTTCACAAGACGGATGTCTAAAAACCTATTTAACGTGTTACAACTCAGCCGGTATTTCGTCGCCTACAGCCCAGCTTTCCCTAGTGACCGATAGAGGCGCTGCTATCGATGTCCGCCCGTGCCGCCTAACGATGCATGGTCTAATGTGGTTTCTGTATACACTAATGATGGTTTATTGTTCCTCCGCTAAGTTTATGCAAAGGTTACAAGTTCTGGAACATTTTAATCACCCATTATGTAAACACGAGGGTTGGTTGTCACGCAGCGAGACACAAAAGTGAACCGCAGGATTTTCAGAAACATAGGTATATGCACATTGTGCATTGAGAAGAGTATTGTTAAGGTACTTGTTAAACGCATATGCTTTTTTCGACGGACGGATTGATTATTATCTCTGCCTTTGCAGCGGTAGAGAAAACGTGATGTCTCTCACTCAACGGACATCACAAGTCTGTAGATGAATATTTGCTTCATTTTGGCTTGCAATTTATATTTTTGCTATCAGTCTGCGTTTCTATCTATTTTTGAATGTGTAGTTGTATCAACAATTTTGGGACATGGATCTTCAATGTTCAGGGATTGTGAGTTTGGTTTAGCATATTTGTTGGATCTTATCTCCAAATTGCAACACTATAAATGCATTATATGTGCCCATATCAAACACAATGTTGCTGAAACAAGTTGCTCACACGTGCATCACACATGACATATGACTTGCTATGTTTAGGTATCATGCTTATGAACGGACCAGCAACCTCAGACCTCTGTTCTCCTCCCGCCAGGCAATGTACGAGGGTGGCAGCTGCTCGGACCTGGGGACGGCCGGCCCGCTGGACCTGAAGCGCGGCCAGCTCATGTCCGGCCGGCTCAGCTCCTCCTCCTCCCACAACATCAAGGAGGAGCTGACCTCCTCCGGCGCCGTAGAGTGGCCGGCCGGCTGCGGCTACCGGCTGCCCAGCTGGGGCGCCGCCGCCGCGCCCTTCGACCCCATCAAGGGCGGCGTGGAGAGGGTCAAGGTGCCGGCGGCGGAGCTGGGCCGGGACAGGGCGGCGGCCTACTTCAGTCCGGGACTGTACCTGAGCCGGGACCCCCTCCAGCCGAGCGGCCCGCCGCAGAGGGACGCCGCCGACCAGGACAAGCGGATCTCAGGTGAGTACCGGCCGCCCCCACCTCGGCCCCGGGCGCACAAAGGACTTCGAGGGAGCATAAAGTGGGCTTTCAGCCAAGGCCTTTGAGACGAGCTGATTGCCGTCTTAATGGCTAGACGCCATTTGGATCGGCCGCCGCTAATTGCACTCATCGGGTCCTAGAACCTGTGAAAGTGGCGGAATTCAGTCGAACCGGCGGCGTGTTAATGCCGGCTCCGCGCCCGGCGCCTGAGTCTATTGAAAAGTGCAGTAATTTATAGTTCACGCTAATAGTACAGCGGTGACCTTATGCAAATCCGGTCTGTACATGCCCCAATTAGCAATCATAGATCACTACCGTTATGTGCCTGGGGTATATTTGTTGGCACCGTACATCATCCAGGGAGAACCATTTCCTGCGGGTGCGCCGAGCCGCCCTGCGTGAGTCGAGAGAGTTGGGTCAATGTGGCCACATAAAGGAGCAGAAATGTCTGCCAGTCCGGTTAGCGCGGTTGTGCACACTTCCTGAGTGCTGGCTTAAAATCGCGAGTGGAGTGAAACGTTATTCCAGCGAGGCTAAGGCCTTGTCGTTTTCTTTGGTCCCCGTTTGTTTTAAGAAGTATTTGGAAATGGCGACTTTAATTTCTGGTATGAGAACATGATTGACAAGCTTTGTCTCTCCTGAAAATTCAATTTAAGTATGCATTTTAAGTTTCGACAGCTATTCATAGAAACGATATATTTTCAAAAATTAAATATGTAGATTTCTTCTACATATTTACATACCTACATATTACATCTTCTACACATTTCTCTGGAAAAAATAGCTATTTTCAAAAATAGCGTAATGAGAAAGCATAAAATCAATAGTCCATATCACCAGAGTACTCATACCGTCTTTCCACGCTGGCGATTAGTCTCTTCCACGTGATCAGGTCATTACCGGCGCCAATAGATTAAAAACGGCCGCCGTTTTACGATGACCGACGACCGGAACCCGTCGTCGTTAGCGCAGCTGATTTACACCGATTGTAGCGCATCGAAGACGTGCTGCGCCGCAGCGCCGGAACTCGCGGCAAAGTCGGCGTAGTGTTGATTTGAGGTTTGCCGATCACTTGGCTGACCTCAACGATCGGATCGGCTCGTTAAAAGGAATGGTGGCCCTTTCTTGAATGATGGACAGCCATGTAGATTGTAGAGGCGATAAGGAACGTCTCGTGTCACATTTTCTTTTATTTTATTTGTTCACGATCCATGATATTTTGCACCACTCAGCTTATCCTTGAATTTTTCTTGTGCGCTTTATTTACGTCACATCATCAGGCAGTAATTCCAATTGCTGAAACAAAAACAATGTGAAGGTAATGCCTTTCGTCGCTGATCATGTACATTATTTTATTTGGATTTCAGAAGAGTCCTTAACCCGCGCACCGACGGGGGGGCGGATATCCGCCCCCCCTGAGGTTTTTCGCGAATAGCGGGAAAACCGCGGCGCTACGCGCCGCGAAATTTGGTACGACTATTCCCTCATCAATTTTACACATGGTGTGCAAGTTTGAACCTCCTACATTTTAATGTCGGGTCACAGGTCACTTTGAATGACCCAACCTCAAGTCACTTTTTTGCAACTTTGTCACCGTGCCAGAGCTACAGTAGATGTCGGAGACCTTTGAAAGTCGCAGGATGTTATTAGGTCATTAGTAGCTACAATTTGTATATCTCGGAATTTTGGTATCGGTGACCTAAGGTCAGGTCAATTTCGCGACCTCCCCATTATCAGTCAATGGGGAAAAAATCAACTCCCTATTTTTACCACTAAAACGGGTCGGAATGGCCCCATATACCATACATGACTTTATATACGATCAACCTTCACTACCTTGAGGTCTGTTTTGCTGTTGGGCAGCTGTGAGGTCATGTGACGTCATCAAAGGTCACCAAAGGTTTTTGACCAATAACTCCGTACAGGAACAAGATACAGCCGCGTGGATGGTCTCATTGTGTTCAGCTCGTCAAGACGCATCGAATGATATATATGATGACCTCGAGGTCACGTGACCTGAGGTCAACCTTTGACCTTGACCTTTCGAGGTCAACATATATATCATTCGATGCGGATTGACGAGAGGATCACGATGATGCCCTTAGTTTGTTCCTATCTTGATTAATTCGAAAGTTATTCGAGAAAAACTATCTTAATATCTAGCGCCGCCATTTTGACTTTTTCGACCCCTGTGACGTCATCTTTGACCTGACCTGAAAATGACCTTCGTAAAAATTGTAGATCTTGACCGTGCGTATCCGATGCCGTTTACCGCTTGTCGCTATCTTGCTTCGTTCTCGAGATCTCAGGGGGGGGCGGTCATCCGCCCCCCCCCGTCGGTGCGAAGTTGGCGCAGACCCCCGTCGGTGCGCGGGTTAACTCGCCCATATATGTAGCATACGCGTGACCGCAATAGGATGATTGCCGCAAATTGCACCAACTGGCTGCAACACGCCTACATCAGCATATCGTTTTTCTTCCTTCAATACGAAAAATGTCATCGTGTCTTCCAATCCCAGTGTGCATTCAGTTCCTCCCTGCGTCGCGCTGCCGATTTTCCCGATAGCATTCTCCCTTCCCCCGTTCCCCGACCCGGCCCCACTGAGCGGTCGGCGGGTCGGCGGGCTCGGGCGGCCATTTGGCACCGCTCTGTCCCGTATATTAGCGCCCAGTGGCGGGCTGACAGTCGCCCACGTCCGCCCTCGGCCGCCACGACGCGCCGCTTTGTCTCAATCCGACAAGTTGGCGCGCCATGTTCGCGCCATAATTCACACCCGGCGGCAACAGTTTGGCGGGAGGCGTGACGGCGCCGACAGCGATACCGGCCGTTACGAGTCGACGCGGCGACTCGGGCAGAGTGGGGAGTCTGCTGCAGAGGCAGAGAGGAAAGAGAGAGAGAGAGAGAGAGAGAGAGAGAGAGAGAGAGAGAGAGAGAGAGAGAGAGAGAGAGAGAGAGAGAGAGAGAGAGAGGGAGGGAGAAGGACAAACAAGGGCTTAGCGTGTTCAGTGTTTATGCAATTGGGGGTACTGGGTAGAATGTCATAAAACACGTGAACGTTGATTTGTTGCAGAAGAAGCGTGAACGTGCCAATTGTTGGTAGCAGCCAATGCGACGTTTTATATGCGGTGCTTTTGTTGCACAGCATGGTGCTTACACTTGCTGGTTTTGAACAGCATGAGTGCGATTATGGCCTGTGAATACGTCCATTGCACGATATCCGAGGCCAATGTGTCAAAGGTAATGGCTTTTGTACTTATTTTATGGCAGTGATCTTTCTTTTACTTCATGGTATGGCTGCTGTAAAAATTGAACGGTTTCCTCGCCTTCACATTTCAAGGCTGGATGCAGAACGCAATCGCTGGCAGTGGGGGTAGACTTTGGCTGCAAGACAACCTGCTATTCAGAGGCATTAATTTCGAAGAACGGAATGCGTTTCGCGATCGCGATGAAACTAATTTACTCATCCTCTCCGATCATCGGTGCACAGTGTCTCCTTTTACTTCCGGCATCCCCATTTATGCAGTTATCTAGTTGGTGCCGTAAAGCAGGCTTCGTGCTTGTGCACACCACTGCAGTATATTGTATTGTTTTTTTTCTGTCCAGTTCTCCTCCCGACCGCTCAATGCACATAAAAACCTCAGTCGTTAACAGTCAGGTTTACATGATGAGTTGAGTACCGTATTGAGTCAACATAGACACATGCGTATATATCGATAGATATTCTACACATCGCCATCGATAAACTCGCATGAAGCATATATCTAGATGCGAAAAACGGGTGAATCATACATTTTGGCATGTATAACAGGTTTGTTTCAGAAGCACGTTTTACCTGGCATTTTCTGGTGATTCGGATGCCTGCTGTGACGCCCATAACTGGCAGCAATTACGCGATCAATGTCGGGCACTTGAGCTCGGTAAATACCACCGTTTGTCCCCTCTCGGCCTGCTGTCAGTCCAGCCCGCCCCGCTGAGTGACGGTCTACGGCGCCGCGCCGTCCTCGTGCACCGCCGCCGCTCCTCCGACCCCCTAATAGCGGCGGCACGTGCCCAGAGCGGCCCCTCCGGTCCTCCGCTCCCCTCCCCGCCGAGCTGACTGCGCTTTTACCCCCGGGTGATGCGGCGGGCAGGTGGGCCGGGCGGGTGGCGTGCCGTCGCCTGTGCGGCTGCCACTGGAGTCGCACGCGCCACACGCGGCGCCCCGGGCCGCCGAGACACGCATGGCTGCTCAGCTGATTCAGTGAGCAGTGACGGTGCCGTCCCATTGACCCGATAGGCACGCCGACCTGTCAGAAGCGGTGGGCTCGTGGCAGCTCGAGCAGTCAGGCGCTGGATTGTTGGGCTCTTGGGGTGACCCGTGCGGTTTGGGGATGCCCTGGTAGTGGTGCTTGTTGGTTTACTGCGGGCCACATTCCGATGTTACTCCTATTGCAATGTGAGGAATCGCGAAAGGCTCCGTTTTGTTTTGGTTTTTACATCTGAGGTCCCAGGAGTCAGCATTCAGCAAGTTTGTGACTTGCATCAGAGCCAGCAGTCATATCTTGCACACAAATTATCTCATTGTTATCTTTCTGGCTTTACACATTAACCCTCGCCCGTATTGGTGTTTTTCCAGCCGCGAACGTATAAGGGGGGGGGGTCCGTTGGACCCCCCCCCTTGCCGTTTCGCCCCTGATCGAGCTAGAGCTTCGCGGAAAAAACGAGCGTGTTGCCCGTGACGAGAGGAAGCCGATGATACCCAATTTTAAGGTCCTAGGTCATTGGTTGACCTTGCAGGTCAGGTCAATGACCCCAAAGGCGGGAAAATCGGGACCTGTTAGAACGTCGTGAAGTGTGGCTGCTAAGGGTTTTTTCGGGGTGCTGATCACTAATATCATGTTAGTTTTGATCACAGATGATGTCTTTATGTATTTAGGCCAGGTCGGATCAGGTCAGGTCAGGTCAACCAGTAAGGGTATTCGTAGTAGGTGGCAACTGCCTCTGACAGCTTCGTAACATGTTACGAAGGCACCAAAACTACTTCGTAAATGTTCATATGGTTGCTAAATTCGAATTCAGCTCCAAAAACTGGCCTAGAAACATGTAAAACTCGAAAAAGTGAACCGAGGTCATCAAAGGTCAATGACCTGACCTGACCTTCAGGTGACCTTGACACCCGCCCTAATGCATGGGGCAACATCGTATCACATGTTTGAACGCTTGAAACCACGAAAAGACTGCAAACGCGCGGCTAATGCGAGCCGACATACGCCGAATCGCGATTCCAGCCAAACATGGTCTCGAAAAGTAGGTCACACATCAAAGGTCATTTGGGTCAGGGTCATGAAATTTTCAGGGTAGGTGTGAAATTGATGAATGCGAGGGTACTGAAAGTTTCGTCGCGATCGGCCGCTTTTTACGCGAGTTATTTGCGAAAAACCATGGGGGGGGGTCCGTTCGACCCCCCCCCCCCTATACGGGCGAGGGTTAACTATGCATGAGCAAAGCATGTTGCTCCTCTCATCCAACACTCCAACGGTGGCATTCAGGACCTCTGCCGTCACAAAGTCCGCTCTCGAACCAGCCATAGACCCCACAACAATGCCACTCAGGGGGCGCCGGGCCGGACCGCATACCACAGTCCCGACGCTACCGTCCCGTGGGACCCCCGCAGAGCTCCATCCACCGCGTCCCGCTCCCTGCGTGACCGATGGCATCACACGCGTGACGTCATGATGAACTCACCAGTCACGTGACGGTCGCGTCATTACCGTGCACGTGCAAAGGGAGTCGCCAGCCGGCTCGAATCGAGAATAAAACAAACGACGACGCAGCGACGGCCGGTGGCGGAGGGCGGCACTCCCGGCCCGACTGGCTTTTGTTGTAGCCGCGGCGGCGGGACGCTCTAGGGCACGTGTCGGGTCGGACGACAGACGCGCAACAATCACGCACGCACGCGGCGGAGGCGCTCACTTCGGGCCGGAAACAGCTCCATTCCGGCGCGGCTAGACCGCTAGGGGCTGCCTGGGGTCGGCTGGTGGCTGCCTGGGGGTCGACTGGTGGCTGTTTTGGGGTCGGCTTGGGGGCTGCCTGGGTCGGCTGGGTACTGCTGGGGGGCTGCCGACGGGTCTGACGGGGTGTGTCGGGGCTGCGTATCTTACTGTCGTCAAATTAGGAGAACACTGCGCTGAATTACCATGATCGCTAAGGCCACATTTCTTCAAAAGAAAAGAAAAGATAAAGCTCTATATTCATGGTTGTAGTTGGATAATCAATATAGCCGAATCGAAATAACTGGCAACTTCTCCGGTCGTATCTCATTTTCACGTTAATCGCCAAATATGTCATTACTGCATGCATCTTTCATGACGCATTCCATAAATTGTGTGCACTGTCGAAAGTAACCATCGTCCAAAAATGGGAAACCCCTTAGTGTCCTCTAGGAACACACTGAACACAGCGAAAAGCGACCAGCATTGGTGTTGAGCACGACATCCTCTCCGCCGCCTAACGTGCTGCCGCCTGGAAGGCAGACTGTACCGGCGGCGAGCGTGCTAGGCGGCACAGCATACCCAGCCAGGCGCTCCCGCCGTGGCTGCTCTCGCCTTTCGGAACGCCGCGGCCCGCGCTGGTTGTGCGGCGTGCGCAGCTGCATAATGCAAAAGCGTGTCGTCAAAGTATTTAGGATTTAGTATATAGAAATACGAGAAGTTCATGAATTTATCATGGAGTATGACTTTATAATATAGATCTTGTTTAGTAACTCTATGGCTCGCAACTCTGGTAAAGTTCAGCAAAAAAAAAAAAAAAATGTTGTTCTGTTATAAGCCGATTCTCCTTCGAGCAGCTCTGCGAGTGACTTTTTTTTTTTGCTCTGGTGTATTTGACATGATCCAGTCAAATTTCTGAAGGAATTAGTTTCAACGAGTCATTCTTCGTTATCGATTGTGATCTTCGTATGAAGCGTCTATGAGCGGATGGCGTTTACCGCAAACTCGCAGTGTTTTCTTATAAGCAAAACTCTTTTTTTGCATTTTCCTAGTACCATTTGTGATCAGTCATCTATGAATTAATTATATTTCGAAACTCATGTATCCAAATCTCCACTACCCCAGTATTTCTGCCACGTCCGAGACATTCACGCTCTGGAAACATCCCCGCCGTATCCGACCATTGTCTCTGCGTCCCGCCCCGGCCGTCTTGGCACCCTCCCCCCTGCCCAGCGGGGTGGGGCGTGGGCGGCGGAGCGGGACTACCCAGGACAATGGCTGCCGACGCCTGGGGCGCTGCATCACCCCCCCCCCCTCTCCTCCCCCTCGAGCCTTCGCACCGTCTCCAGGCTGTGTATCGCCCCGAAGCGTTCCCCGCACCGCCGCCGGGCAGGCCGCCCGGCACAATGGCGGCCCACAGCGGGTGTCCAGGGGCCGTCAGACCAGCGCCGCCGCCTGATTTATGCCCCCGGGCGCTCATTGTGTCGGCGAGAATTCAATTTTTTGCGCGATATGATATGGTGGGGATGAGTGAACATTTATCATCGGGAAGGGAGAGCGCCGGAGCAACAGGACGGTCGCCGGCGGGCACTGGAATGCCCCGAGGGCACTGGTGGGGTCGAGAGGGAATGAGGAATGTATGACGCCAGATGTGCAGTAGGGAATGCGCAAATGGGTCCCGTGGGTTTGGGAGCATGTGTCTAAACGGAAACATGGAATGCAGAGAATGCAGTTCGTTAGGGTAATTGTTATCGAAATGCTTATTGATATTTGTAAGTTAGCATTTTTGTCAAACGAGCTGTTTAAAAGCAAATGATTTGGGATGCAAATTTTATTCTGACGCAATATATTCCTGTCTGTTCCAGAGAAAACTCCATTGCAGAATTTGACACAAGCGGCAACACAGTTAGCAGGTACGTGACTTTTTACTTTACTGTATGACAAAGCGACGACATTACAACACGATTTGGCGCTGCTTACTTCCAAGGTACACTATTCCAATACCATACACTGAGAAAACAGTTTCTCCATTTTCGGTCTCAGAGACCAGTTTTCGGGCTAATGTCCCCTATTCAAAACAGACCACACATTTTGAGAATACTTTTTGAGCAACGCCATTGATCGCAGAAACAGATCTCAGTCAGTACCCATTATCGGTGTCAAGCTTTTAACATTAGTCTCACTATGAAACCAGTTTTCAGCCCGATCCCCAATTTCGGTCTCACTTGAATCCAGTATTCGGGCTAGAAGTACTCGGGACACCGTTCCGTGCTTCTATCCTCAGGATACGGAAATCCTTCTCCTCCACGCCGCAACCCCCCTCCGGGCCGGACAGGCAACTTTATCTCATGCGGGCTGCTCCCTTGGAGCGGCACCGCTGCTCCCGAGGGAGCGCACCCCGTAGCCGGGTGCAGTGAGTACCTTGGGGCTGGTCGGCCTGTCCTTCGGGATGGGCTCAGCCCCGGTGACACACTAGGGTGCCTGCCCAGACCAATGTTTCCCCCTAATTCCTATCATCCTTCCGGCTCTGAAATGGTCTAATCGGACCGAAAGGGCCTAACCCAACAAAACAAGCTAAAAGTACATGAGCCCTAAAAGGAAGCCTTACTGAAACCGTTTTTAAAATCAGGCACATTTGAGGCTTGTTTCAGTACTCAATTGAGTCCTTATTCAAAAATGTTCTCAACGTGTTTTCTGAGTGTAAATTGACTGCGGTATTATGAATCCAATTTTATGAATTGACTCTTTGACTGCGTTTTGGATTGCCTTTCGGCTTTTTTCTGTCTATCTTTTTCCCGACATCCCATCCCTCCCTCTCATTTGCCTGCCCTAATAAGCCGCTCCCGTGCCGGCCAAAATACCGATAATGCCGCGATGCCGTTTTAATTGCTGCGCCGCGCACCCCTCCTCGCCGTTCAATGATTGTCGCTGGCGACGCAGTCGACGCACCGTTATCGCGTCGGCTCCGATGGACGTCGGCAGGTGGGCGGCTGATGCCCCCCCCCCCCCCCCGAGGGCCGTGCGTGACACTGGTGGCGCTGGCGCTACATTAGTGGCGAGCTGAGGTCACCCTAACGCGGAAAGCAGGCGCCTTCCGCCGGCGTCGCGGTTGGCACGGATGCGAGAAGGAGTGAACATCTTCCGGGCGCAGTAATGGTCGGGATGCGCGCGGAAGGACGGTATGGGACGGATTGCTTTTAGCTGAGGTGTGGTATGTACTTCGTAGGGCTGAGAGGAAGAGGGGTAACGATTGAAGCTCATGTTTTTCGCAGTCGAATTTTATTCGTGAAGATGTAATATTGCGAAATCGGGAATACACTGGTGTGCCTTACGCTCCAATGCTGGTGGACAAATTCCTTCTAAAAAAAATAGATTGCAGCGCTAATGTCTAAGAGTACCATGAAATGCTGTACTATTTTCTTGTGGCATACCAACCTAGATATTGTCATGACTAATGCTTTTTGATTATTAACCTTCCAGGTGGTGGGGGGGGGGGCATTTTTTGCCCCCCCCCTTTAGTTTTTTCGATATATCTCGAGAACCGCTGCGCCGATCGTCACCAAACTTTCAGTACCCTCCCGTGAATAGCTATTGCGCATTGCGACCAAAAAATTTCAAAAGGCTATGATAGGTTGGACGCTAATGACGTCAGAGTGACGTCATTTCTGCCATTTTCGACCCAAAAAAGGTTTCGCGAGAAGAGCTGTCAGGCCTACAGCTTTAGAGATAAAAAAAAAATGTTTCAGACATTAAAGGTGTAGAATTTAAAGGGCTACAAAACTGCTATCTCGGATTTTTGAAATTTTTGGATTTTGACCCCCAAAAATGTGAAAATAGATTTTTTTGAATATAATAGCCGAAAAATCCAAAAAGTTTTTTGAATTAAAAAAAAAAACGGAATATATGTGATAGACCCTACCGCCTTCTATCTACATGCCAAATTTAAGATCGATATGTTTTTTTGGCCAAGCTATAGCGAAAGAACTGTTCAAAATTGATGTCAAATTTTCAAACTCAATTTTTAGCAATTCTAGACCTCGTAGCGCAAAACAAAGACCACCATTAGACTCCCCGTGACGAGCTGCATCGAATCATCACCCATTTTATGCAAAAATATCAACTTTGAAATTTGACCTTTTTTGACATGACCTTGACCTGACCTCCACCAGAAAGTGACCTCAACCGTACCTGATGGTCTTATAACCAACATCATTGAGTTGGAAATGAAAAACTGACCATAAAACATGCATCGCACAACCTTAGTAAAGTTGGGTTCATGTGGTGACCCTTGGTGACCTTTGGTGACCTGACCTGTGACCTGACCTGGTATGACCAGTGACCTATAATAGCAGCATATGTACTAGACAACTGACGCCCTATCGCTGATTTTCATCAAAATTCGTTTTACTCGGTGTTATAGCGCTTTCCCTAGAAGCCCCGTGAACGGTGAAGCATTTTATCTTTGACCTGACTTGTGACGTCATCGGTGACCCCGAGGTCAATGAAATTTGGTTTCCCTCGACAAATTTGACAGGGCTATCGAACGCCTTTTGAATTGTCCGGATCCGTCCAGAGTAGTTTCGGAGATACGGGGGGGATGCCCCCCCCCCAACCGCGCGGAAGGTGGCCGGGAGGCCCACCACCTGCAGAGTTATCGAACGATGTTCTTCCTATATTAGGAATGATTTTCATTCCATTTTCCGATATTCCAACCAGACAGTATTAAAATTCATAGCATGTTTGTAGCATACATGTATGTATATGTTGATACATCGCTCGATTAAAATACATCGTGGCCCGTGCCAATTTATCGGACAAATGCTGAGATGTCATGCTATGAGACTGAAAAAGAAACATTGTTTGACATTATAAACAAGTTCTCTAAAAGCACGTTTTGCTTAAGCTTCCAATTTTCACCGTTTTAGTATGCATTATTCATGTTGTATGTTTATATAACGCGTTCCGGTAATGTCAGGACATTTACATGCGACGTTGAAATTAGCACATTGGCAGAAACAACACTATGTTAGTTCCTGCCGTGCCTACTCCGTAATTAAAGGAAATGAGAATGCCTCGTTTTATACTCTGAAATTGGTCAATTTGCATACAACTTTTGGTTGCACGATACTAAGACCACTTTTGTTTGGCAGAGCCTCTGGGAGTCAAATGCTACTCAAATTTTACATCAGATATTGCATGTGGAAACGCATCATCTCGAATGTCGAAAAGCTCTGGTAAGTACTATGATGTTGCAAAATAAAGACATGGTACAAGCATGCAGTTAGCCAGGGAATAGGCATGGTAAGTGGCTCACTTTTAGTGGTCAACTTATCCATTCGATCAAAAGATGCATTGAATGAAATGTAGATTTTATTCCATAGGTATATCCTCCAGTAAAAAAACAAAGTTTACGATATTTACCTAGTTAACCCGCGCCCCACTGGGGGGGGGCTATTTATAGCCCCCCTCCCGTTTTTCTGCAATAACTTCCAAACCGCTTGACGGATCGACGCCAAACTTTCAGTACCTTCGGCTGCATCAATTTGACACCTTGTGTCAAAATTTGAACTTCGTGGCTACCATAGGTCGGCCGGAAATGACGTCAGAGTGACGTCATGTTCGTCCGATTTCGACGCAAAACATTGAACCACGGCAATCGCTCCCAAGAGCTCAGTTTTTAAGCTAGATCCAATTTATTTGCATGAAAGGACTCAGAATTGACCGCGCTATCAAACTGCTATCTCGGATTTTCAAAATTTTGAAAATTTTGAAAATTTTATATAATAATATTCAAAATTTATATTTTTATATTTTTTTCAAAAAGTTTTTGACTTTTCGAAAAAACCGGAATATATGTGACAGGACGCATGATTATGACTAACTCTAGCAACTTTTAGCTAAATCTTCAAAAATGGCCAAGGTATACGCATTATTGCAAATAATTCACAATTTTTACTTTTTAAAATCAATTTTTCAGTACGTATTTGACATCGTACACCAATATAAATGGCATCATCGTGTTCCTGAGCTCAAACTGCATCCAATAGACACCTTTTTTGTTGAAAAATCCTAACTTCAAAATTTGACCTTTTTTGACCTGAAAGTGACCTGACCTAAGCTAAATTCGACTCAAAATGACCTCGAATGACACAGACGACATCAAATTCGAAATATGTGACCTAAATGGACCATAAAACATGTGTCACGTGACCGACGCATGATATAATATTTTCGTGACCTGTGATGACCTGACCTTGACCTGAAAATCAAAGTACAAGTTTGGTACCCTCAAGGTATCTAGAGCATCTGTTCACGAGTGTGGAAACCAAAAATGAACCTGATCTGACTTGTAAGACGGCGGCCAGAGCCCAAAATGTGAACAAGCCAAAATGCTAATAATTTTTACTTTGACCTGACCTGTGACGTCATCGGTGACCTCGAGGTCAATGAAATTAGGTTTCGCTCGACAGTTTTTCCGGGGCTATCAGACGCCGTTTGAATTTTGATGATCGGCCCAGTAGTTTCGGAGTTAGGAGGGGGGGCTATGAATAGCCCCCCCCCCGTCCCCCAGTAGGGCGTGTTATACACAGACCCCAGTGGGGCGCGGGTTAATTGGAGAGGTGACATGATTTTTGGCATAATATGCATCATATCTTTTTAATCTATTCATTTAGTAATACGAATTAAGTTTGCTTGCGCTGCTTGATTAGAAAAAAGTCCTTTATCAAACAAATAGTGTCGGCTATACCCGCTTAGTTTTCAAACAAGGGTGTTTCTTAACTCATATGCAATCGATGAGTTCTCTTTAGAAGGAACGCACTTCTATGTTCTGCAGAGTGGCAACGGAGCAATGTGATAACCTGTCGAAACTTTAACCCTAGAACGCCTAGGGGGGGGGGTTGTATCAACCCCC